TGAGTCCCACATTTCCGGTCTTTGAGGAAGTGATATTTCTTACTTTTTTGAAGCTTGGAATATATAAAGTATAGAAGAGATAATAAATTGATTTCCTGTGAAGGTTTAGTAAGCATCATTCCTACATCTGAGGTGTAGACCTTGTTCCCTTTCATACCTAATTAAAAGAGATTTGTGTTTAGATATCATGTTTCTTGTGTGGGCATGGTTACAAATTTGATTTATCTAATTTTATCCAGGTAGCAGGAAAACATTCTTGTTGAAACTGTGTAAACTGATACATTAAAAGGAGTGAGTTATGATATTTTATACAATATTTAATCATTGTTCTAAGCAGTTTCTACACAAGGTCATCAATAAATATATTCAGTATTTTCAAGCAATTCTGAAAATGTTTCTGCCTGTTTATTAGCTTATCATCTATGCTCACATTAAAATCTTTCAAAGGATATTTGTCCCCTCTGAATTCCAGGGGTATTGGACTAAAACCCTACTTAAATTACCCTAACTTAAATTGAAGATTAGAAATAAAGCAGAGTATTTTTCTTTCAGGACCATTAAAAATAAGATGTTAGTCACAGTTAAGTGAATTTACACATTCCTAGGTAATTGTTATTTTGCTGGTTTTAGATTAAGTAATTTATTTAAAAAGGTGTCTACTCTGCACTAATGGAATCATGAGAATGTTAACCCATCTCCTCGATATAGTTATGACAGATGTTGTTTCATAAAGGTGATGTCAGCTATATACCAGAATACCTGCATGTATGAGTCACTTCTGTGTGATAGTTCATAAGGCATGGTATAGTACTTTACTTAAGATATTCTGATGTCTATAGAATATTGAAGTTAAGAAGATATATTCATTTTCTCTAGTAGAGTGGTAGCAAAAATCTTGACTTATGTTTGTTTATTGAGTCTATTGCCTAGTTGTTGTTATTGTTGTTTTTTTTTTTTTTCTTTATCTCGTATTTAACTCATCCTTAGAATTTTCTTCACTATTGTGGAAATTTTCTTTGTCCCTGTTCTAAGACTCTTGTCTTTCATATGCCATATCTTTTTATTGATTTATTGCATTTTTTGCAGAGAAGGGTGGCACATTTTCCAGTAGCTTTTTGAACAAGGATGCAAAGGAGTTATATATTTTTAAAGACCATGTATGTCTAAAAAGTCATTCTGTATTTTTGTGCTTGATTGATAGTTTGGCTGGGTATAGAACTCTCAGCTGAAATAATTTTCCTTCAGAATTTTGAAGGCAGTTTTAAAGTCATTGCTTTTTCTTGCTTCTGTTATTACTACTGAAAAATCTGAAGCCATCATTATTTCTGATTTTCTGCCCCAATAGAAGCTTTTAGAGTCATTTATCTCCACTATTTTAAATTTCTCTGTAACACACCTTAATGTGGATCTGTTTATTATTGATTGCTCACATTCATTGGGATTTTTTGGTCTGGCAAGTCTTGCCTTTTAATTCTTGAATTAAAAGTGATTTCATGAGTGGTTTTTTTCTTCTGCTATTCTCTCATTCAAGGATGTACTTTTGGATGGATATTTCAGCTATAGCTTTTCCTTCTATTTGATACTTTTTTGCTTAGGTAGATTTCTTTATTGTTGAGTCTTCTATTATGTTCTTATTTTCTATTTTTTATTTCTTGGACATAGTGATAAATGCATTCTTGATCTTCTTTTTTTTTTTAAGATTTATTTATTTATTTGAAAGTCAGAGTTACACAGAGAGAGGAGAGGCAGAGAGAGAGAGAGAGAGAAAGAGAAAGAGAAGTAGGTCTTACATCCACTGGTCCACTCCCCAATTGGCTGCAATGGCCAGAGCTGGGCTGATCCAAGACCAGGAACCAGCAGCTACTTTTGGGTCTCCCATGTGGGTGCAGGGGCCCAAGGCCGTGGGCCATCTTCTGCTTTCCCAGGCCATAGCAGAGAGCTGGATTGGAAGTGGAGCATCCAGGTCTCGAACCAGCGTCCACATGGGATGCCGGTGCTTCAGGCCAGGGCGTTAACCCGCTGCACCACAGCACCAGCCCTGACATTGTATTCTTGACTCAAGAATGTGACATATTTCCTTTTCTGAATATATTTTTTGATGTGTTCTCGTTCCTAGATTATCTGTTGCTTTGTGTGTTGAGTTGTGTGTGTTTGTGTTCCATATCAGACAGTTTTCTTAGTTGCTTTCTTTTCCCTTGTCTGAGTACATAATGTGATATGAAAGATTGAAGTATTAGTGCAATGTATAAATTCTACACTTTTGAGCTTCCTTATAGGGTGATCAAATGGACCATTTTTGGGGAGCTCCCGACCAGACCCTAGATCTTATGTCTTGTGCTGGTCGTAAACCTCTAGAAATGGCCTTCCATTTCTTATTTATTTATTTATTTTTGACAGGCAGAGTTAGACAGTGAGAGAGAGAGACAGAGAGAAAGGTCTTCCTTTTGTTGGTTCACACCCCAAATGGCTGCTACGGCCCCTGTGCTGCGGCTGGCGCCCTGAACTGATCCGGAGCCAGGGGCCAGGTGCTTCCTCCTGGTCTCCCATGCGGGTGCAGGGCCCAAACACTTGGGCCATCCTCCACTGCCTTCCTGGGCCACAGCAGAGAGCTGGACTGGAAGAGGAGCAACCAGGACAGAATCTGGTGCCTTGACTAGGACTAGAACCTGGGGTGCCGGCGCTGCAGGCAGAGGATTAGCCTAGTGAGCTGTGGCGCCGGCCTTCCATTTCTTGTAAGTAGCAGTAAAGTACTACTTGTTGGCATTCTGGGAGATTAATGGAAGAAGAGGACTAGGGATCTCTGCAGTAAGCACTGATTACCTCTTGGGTATGGTACTCTTAATTATTGGTGTTCTCTTCATACTTTTGCTAGTGTTGGGAAGAGCAGGTATTTACTAGAATGTGTGGTAGGGACATCTAGGTTATCTTACAGCTTTTGAAACAGCTTTCATTAGTCTTCTCTTTTTTAGTCACATCATCCCACTTTTTTTCTTCCTTCACCCTAGTTTCCAAAGGTACTTGGTTCTTCTGCTTATATTTTTTGGGGGATTTCTGTCTTGTAAATCAAACTGATTCTTAACTGTAGCTTGAGATATGGTGATAAGAAAATGCTTGGTTATCACTGGTCCTGCTTATTTTCTCGCTTCCTAAATCTGTTTTGTCTAAGCCAGGGGTAGAGAACATCTGGTCCATGGGCCGAATAAGTCCAGTAAGATCATTTGGCCAATGTAGCCATTGGTGGGACTTGAGATTCAATAAATCTATAGTAAACTAACTTTTTTTAAAAAAGATTTATTTATTTATTTGAAATTCAGAGTTACACAGAGAGAGGAGAGAGAGAGAGAGAGAGAGAGGTCTTATATCTGCTGGTTCACTCCCCAATTAGCCGCAAAGGCCGGAGCTGTGCCGATCTGAAGCCAGGAGCCAGCAGCTTCTTCCGGGTCTCCCACGTGGGTGCAGGGGCCCAAGCACTTGGGCCATCTTGTACTGCTTTCTCAGGCCATAGCAGAGAGCTGGGTGGGAAGTGGAGCAGCCGGGTCTCAAACCAGCACCCATATGGGATACCAGCGCTTCAGGTCAGGGTGTTAACCCACTACACCACAGTGCTGGCCCCCAGAACTAACTTATAAATTGAGAGTTTTGTGTGACCTTCAAATGATGTTATAGATAACCAAATGACCCTTGGCAGAAAAAAAGGTCCCTGCTGCTGGTCTAAGTTACTATCTTTTACTTTTCTCCCTGTTCTTTAGGATTTAAACCTTCAAATATATTTTCACTGTAGGTTAAGTGGGATTTGAAAGAGTGAAATTATATATTTTTACTTCATCTTCTTAACAGCCTTCTAACATTCCTTTTTCCTTTTAATTGTGTGATGTTGATAACAACTTCTAATTAAAATGTCTTATCTCAATAAATGAAACATGTATTTACTTTTTACCAAGTATGGGGTACTTCAAAAAGTTTGTGGAAAGTACAATTAAAAGGTAAGTTTATTTTATGTGTGTGCGTGTGTGCGTGTGTGCACGCACATGCGTGTGTGTATAGGAGGGGTGGTGTTCAAATAATTCATGAAAAATGCATATTATAAAAAAAGTGATATGAATTTCAAAAATTTTTTATACCAAAATAAAATTTTAATTCCACTTTCCACAGACTTTTTGAAGTACCCTTCTACACTTTAAACTTTCTCTTTAGGGTCTGTGGGATTTTCCCTAATTCGCATCTGTAAAGTTTTCTAATAGTGTGATATATAAAAAATGTAGTAGTTGAGCAGTGGTAATTCTTTTCCAGGTTTTTAGTTATAACTGAATGGCTGTTGGCAAATGATTACATTCTGTGATCATAAAAGTAGAAGATTGTAGTACTTTACTTGGTCACTTTAAGAGTGGAAAAAAAGAAATTGTAAAAAATATTTTTATTCAGGAAGAGGTGAAACATTGGATAGTCATCAAAATGTTTACCTAATATTAGAAACTGTTTATAAATATTTATGCTTTTTTCTTAATATTTTATTTTTATTTATTTTGAGGCAGAGTTACAAAGAGGTCTTCCATCTACTGGTTCACTCCCCACGTGGCCACAATGGCAGGAGCTGAGTCCATCCAAAGCCAGGAGCCAGGAGCTTCCTCTAGGTTTCCCATGCGGGTGCAGGGGCCAAAACATTTGGGCCATCTTCCACTGCTTTCCCAGGCCAAGGCAGAGAGCTGAATTGGAAGTGGAACAGTTGGGACTCGAACCGGCACCCATGTGGAATGCCGGCACTGCAGGCAGAGACTTTACCTGCTATGCCACAGCACCAGCCCCAATATATGCTTTTATAAACAATGATTAGACTCATCAGAAATATGCTTTCTAAAAAAGTATCTTATAAAAGAATTTATACAGACTGTATTCTACTTAGCAATATTAATAAAGTTTAAAAATAAAAATTGATTTATGTTCCATAATTTTCTTTTTAAAAATATATTTATTTATTTATTTGAAAGAGTTACAGAGTGAGGGAGAGGCAGAGAGAGAGATCTTCCATTGGTTGGTTCATTCTCTAAGTGGCCGTAATGGCTAGGGCTGAGCCAGACTGACGCCAGGAGCGTCTTCTGGGTCTCCCATGTGGGTGGTAGGGGCCCAAGCATTTGGGTCATCTTGTCATCTTCTGTTGCTTTTCCCAGGCACATTAGCAGGGAGCTGGATGGGAAGTGGAGCAGCCAGGACAAGAACTGGCACTCGTATGGGATACTGGCATTTCAGGCAGTAGCTTTGCCCACCATGCTACAGTGCCGGCCCCTCTTCCCTAGTTTCTTGTAGACTTCTTTGGAGTTCTGCTATGCTAAGCACACAGTAGTACAAATATTCTAGCAGAATAGTGCATTAAAAAAAATCTTAAAAAATAGAAAATGTCCTACAGAAGGTATTTTTTTCTATCTTGGATTCTGAAGTGCAGAGATTTGCATGCCGAGACAGAATGTAGTTGACTCCTTCCTGTAAAGTAAGAGTTGAGATCCTAAAAATGAAGATTCTTAAAGATGTAAGATTTTCTGAAATTTTTGTGGTAGAAATAAGCATACTGAGAATTAGTTACAGCTCATCATCTACTGAGAAAATACTGGTAACACTAAGGGAAAAAATGGAGAATGAATTAAGATGTGATTTCTTCACTCTTACAATGATTAGTTGGATAACCAAGATACAAGTAATGAAATGTGGTGAGTACAATAATATACATAAGAAGATCTTGAGAGAGCAGTTACAGCTGGTTTGGGGGATGGGCATAGTAAGAAGAAAGGAGAGTAAGAAAGGATTGTCAGTGATAAAATAATTTAGACTAAATCATGATAGGATTTGCCAGGTGAACTGGGATAATGTCTTTGGGTCTGAAAGTAAAGGGGCTTTGACAGTGACACTAGTTAATCTGAGTAACAGTCTCATTTTCCTTTCCTAACCTGTCCTCATCAGATGCAGAAACAGAACTGATGTCAGAGGGGTAGATGAAGATATGTGGGCTGGGGCTATTTCAACTGTTAATCAGTTTTGTGAATTTATTTAATCTCTGAGTCTGTTACTGGTGTCAAGAACTGGCAATAAAAATCTACCCTCAGGGCTAGTGTGAGAATTGATTGAAATGGTGTGTATACAACTTATCTGAAGCCTTGATCCATAATACTGTCCTTTGCTACTCTTTTGTCTTGCAAAGTCCCTTTCCAGATAGAGGCATTCAGCATACTTATTGATTTTATTTAAGTATCCTGGGATAGTAGAGAAAAACCTAACAAATTCTTAGGAGAATTGTAATACTGAAAGACAATGGGTACAGTGATAGAGCTTACATTCCGTATCTTATTTTGAAATCTAAATTAGGTGAAAAATAGCTTTTCAGCTACTGTTAGTAGATAGCAGCTTTTTCTATCTATTCTAAGAATACAGTTTAGACTAAGAAGAAAGTAGTTAGGATTTACTTTGGAAAGATATTTGACAAGACAAGGGAGGGTTGAAGAGGGCAGAAGCGTAGTATCTGTGCTTGAGAGTGTTACATAATTTAAATTTTGTGGATCAGACTTCCCTCAATCTCATATTCATCAGGCAAGTATAAATGTTTCGGTTCTTTGTCTGGGCCCTGGACTGCCATCCCCATTTCAATAATATGCCAGTGCCATAGCAGTGTTTTGTCTGTTCCAGTCTTTTCTACTTTATCCCCCTTATGTTTTTCATGAATAAACTTTGCTTGAGCCACCCTCAGAGAATCATATATATACATATTTACTTATTTATTTTTTGAATGACCAATACAGAGAGACTTCCCATTCATTGATTTACTCCATAAATGCCCATAACAGCTGAGGCAGGGCCAGGCTGAAGCTAGGAGGCCAGAACTCCATCTTGTTTTCCCCCTTGGGAAACCTGTTGCTTCCCTGGGTTTACATTATCAGGAAGCTGGATTAGGAGGGGAGCTGAGACTCTAACCTAGAACTCTGATATGAGATTTAAGTGCCTCAAGTGGTATCTTAACTGCTCCGTCAAATAAGCTCCAATAGTTATATTTTTAAGAATTAATATGGCTTAGATCAATTATAACTTTGATTTTTCATGATACTGCACTTAAAGCAGTTTTTACATTCATGATCCAGTCTGCCCCAGGAAAAATAAATAAGGATCTTTTAAAGCTGAGTAATTCAAGACTTTTTAATGAAAAATTTCAAAAATATACTGAAAGAATGGATTCCATATGCTCATCATTCAGCTTGAATAATTATCTCTTCTTTTTAACTCTATTCCTGCCATCTTCTTTATACCCTGAAAAAGTTTTAATAAATGCTTACATTTAATGATAGATAGAGGAAAAGATAGCACAAGATAACTAAATTCTAGGAAGATAGATCAAGGAAGAGAGAAGAAAATGTGGATTATATAGCTAATGGGAACTGTCAAGCAAACAGGTTCATTGTGTGCATTTGTCCTCTTCTTGATGACACTATTAGTATCCTTCCCTTATTTGTCTTGTTAATATACCCTGCAGACTGAGTTTTACCCTTTTGTGCTCTCTTTTTGCCCCCCCAGATTATCTACATTATTTTTATTTGCTTTTCATTCATATCAGAATGTTGGGAGGATAGTAGCGGGCATGAAATGTAATTTGCACTGGGACCAAATACTCACCTGGGGATGTATTTGTGACCATCTGGACTACTGGAGAGAAGAAATTATTTTTATCTTTATTGGTAAATTACTCAAAATAAGCTCTGTTGCTACCTAATTCTAAGGACACTATTGTCAAGATTCAAACTGGATTGTAAGCTGTAACCATCCTGTTAACATTGGAGCACTTTGGGGCTTAGACTGTGAGGAGAAAATCTTTAATTAGCCTTCTATAAATTGAAATTAACTTGATCAAATGAATATCAATGTAAAAAACTTAGTTTTCCAGATATAAAGTTGAAACTCTTTTCATGATAAAAGTAAAATAGAAGGTTAAAAAAAAAAAAAAAAAAACAGGCCTTGAGCAAGGTTTTGGCTTTTTTTTTTCTGGACTGAAATGGAGGCTTTCTTTCAAGCGAATTCCCTGATGTTTGCTCTGTGTGATTTGGCTCTATCTCTGTAACTGCTAATATGTGGCATGGATTTCAAGTTGTTTGGGATCTGGATGTACCCAAAGTCTGTTTTGCAAGTCGGAATTCACGGGCATTATGTTACAAAACTGGCTTGCTGCCTTCTTTTTTCTTTCCCTGTGTTCTGTGTAGCTGCATTGTTTGTTGCAGTATATGCATTAGCTGTTGTCCGTGTTCAGTTTCCTGTAGGCTGACAAAGTGGGAGGGGCTCCGTGTGATACATAGCTGAGTTTTCACTCTGTGAGTTCTTGAGTGCACGTTGCAGCCATCTTAATTACACTTTTGTGCAACTGAGACTGTGCAGCTGTCTCAAAATGGCTGCTATCCTAGCCTTTGTAGCTGCTTAAGCAGCAAGTATGCCACTGAGGAGTCTTGCTACTTGCATCAGGACCAGAGGTAAGCATCAATTTCTCATTATTTTTTTAGTATTCTAATTTAAAAAAAGCATTTGAATTTAACTGAGTTTATATAAGAACTTAAGAGCTTGTTTGCTTAAAAAGTTGAAATGTTTGCTAGAACCTTTAAGCCTCTGTTATGGAAACAGTATATAGGATGGTGAGGTCAAAGGTTAAATTCCTGTAATTTCTCACCATTTTATGTTCTGTCGTTGCCATAACATTTGGTCATCGAAGTAGTATTTCTCTAGCCCCAATGAACTTAAAATTCCTTTTGTGTTGGACATTTTATTTGTTGATATGAATTTGTAGAAATTAAAACATTATCTTATATCAATTTTTTTAAAGCCATAAATAAGTCTTACTTGAAGAACATGATTTTTTCTTTTTCTTTTTTTTTTGTGAGATACTGTTTAGAAGCATTCCTTTTTAAATTCTGTATATAAATCATAATTACAGAGAATTTTTTTAGTTTGTCTTTCTTTTTTTTTTTGTATTATGGATTGCAATTCTTATGATGCTGGTTATCCAGGTCTCTAACACTTTCACATTTCTAATGATGTTACACTTTTTTTGTTCAGATTACTTTTTCCTTAAGTTGATGTACAGATTTTGAATTTGGAAGTAAGTTTATTTGTAGACCTGGATACCTCTTTTCTGTATACTTAATGTAGGTATTCTGGTAGTAATAGACCTGAAGTAAATACTCAGTTGTTTTAATTAATTAACTGATGTTAATTGTTATGTCCACTTTACTCATAGCTTAAACTTGTAGGATATTTAAAAGTAATACAACTGAATGATTTTATGAATTTAGTTTCCAAATTTTCAAAAAGATTTCTTAACATTGTTCTGGAATTGAAACGTTTATTGAGATACTGTAAGTTCATGATTATATGGAAAAGTGGTAAAATGAAATTCTTACTCAGATAATATTTCAGATAGCAGAACAGTTATAATTTAAGCATAAATGCATAAATTATAGTACATTTGAACTTTTTTTCTAAATGGTATGCCACACAACTGGCTTTGTCAGTAGTGTGTTATGAATATATCACTGACTAATATGACATAGAACAGTAAGTTTTTAACTTTCTAAATAGAGAGGTTTCTGAACACAGCAACTTTTTACAAATTAAATTCTTATAGAGGACTCCAGTATGTAAAAAGACTGCTATTTTACTGTTACATAATTTTATAGTGTAAATTTTTAACATTTATTTGTCATAAATGTGTTTAATAAAATGAGAATTAGATTGTTATGATGAACAAGACTTCAAAATACAATCATATGTAACTAATATAAGGTCATAATTGTCCAGATCTAGTTCATTCATTTATTGAACCTCAGCCTCTTAAGGCACAATGGAATTCAGTTTTAAAGTTACCCTAGAATACATCTTCATTTTTAACTTTTGAGGCTAGAGTATAAGATCTATATTTACATGACTTAACAGATTAAAATTTCAGCCTTATCACAAACTTGTGTTTATATTTGCTCTTAGTTATTTTTTCTGAGGCAGAAAATTATTTTTTCTAATTTAATTGGTTTATTTGTCTTAGTGACCCAAAATGTATTTTGGAATCACTATCTCAATTTTATCAACAGCTTTAGCATGTTTATTTCACTTTCATTAACTGCTACATTACACTGTTTTTATGACTATCTTTTATGACATCTTACATTATTACATTCTCATAATCTGAACAATGATTTATATAAATCATCCAGTCACACTAACTTAACTCTAAATGAGAAAAAGAAAAAAAATTCTGTGTGTGTGAGCAATTCTATCTATCATTCTTTCAGTAAGGTCCTTAATTGCTCTTGTTTTCATGCCTCTTACTGTATGAATATTTCAATGTCTTGGTGGCAGGTGGGGATCAGAGGGAAGAGATTGTAGTGTTTAGAATATGTGTATTTCAAAGCATTTTATGTAAATCAGACTAGCTATTTGGTATTCTTTAATACTGTAGAACCACTGACTAGGTTGAAATTATTGAGGACAATAAGACCTTAGGGGGGAATTTTAGTGATCCTTTCTTTTTGCCTTCCACTGCTGATTATTAAATTTAACTCCATAAGATTATTACTTGTACATGGGAAAATGCTAATACTTTGTAGTTACTCAGGATATATTGCTAATTCTTTCATTTCTACGTTGCATTTTTGCAACTGTAAGCATAAACTAAAACTCATTAGGATTATTACTTTTGAGGTTGGCTATTGTTTTCAGATTTTTTTCTGTTGAATTCCAGGTTAACTATTGTACTTGATAATTGAGGACATAGTATATATGGGAATTAGATAATTGATGTTTTGATATCATTTTGTCACTTTTTTTTTGTCCTCCCCATTTGTTTACCCTTTTCTATAAACCATTTTATTAGAAAGGAGACTGGGTTGGTAGAAGGAGTATGAACCAAGAGTCCAAACCTGAATATCAATCCTGGTTTTCTGATGTGGGCCAATTTATCTCACTTTTTGAATTTTGTTCCCTCATCTATAAAATAGAGAAAAATTCCTATCAACTTAGGAAGCATACACAGAGTTGAAAACCAGTTTACATGGTATGTCTGTAATGCCATGAAGTACTCTGCACATATCTGCATTCTTTTCTCCTAGTAATATTTGAGCATTTTTCAGTTTGTTTGCTTCTTAAATGTCATATGCTTTGTCAATGGTAATATATCAGAGTATTTTGTAAAAGTAATTAAAAGTTCTCTAGTAATGCACGCCTAGAAAGAAGAAGAGCTGACATTCACTTAGTAATGTTGTATGTTCATGTTTATATTATTGGGCCCTACCTTCTGAAATAAACTAGCCATCCTGGTGTATGAGTAGTGGCAGATGTATTAAGTACTGCCAGAATGTTGGCATTACAGATTGTTTCAGTTTTAGTGTGGCCAAGTCCTCCAAATATACTGTGAGGAAACAGCTTCTCTATAAAAGATAACTTGAATTCAGGACCTAGAGTTTTTTATGTTTTGTACAAATGAAAATCGTAAGAAGGGTAAAGTTCTCTTTCAGTAGCCAAAAACTAACAACCAACAGACGTATTTTTATCCTTCACTTCCTGCCCCATTTCTCTACTGGTTAACATTTATTTATTTATTTTTTAAAGATTTATTTATTTGAAAGAGTTACACAGAGAGGAGAGGCAGAGAGAGAGACAGAGACAGAGACAGAGAGAGAGGGAGGTCTTCCATCTGCTGGTTCACTCCCCAGTTGACTGCAATGGCTGGAGCTGCACCGATCTGAAGATAGGAGCCAGAAGCCAGGAGCTTCTTCCAGGTCTCCCATGTGGGTGCAGGGGCCCAAGGACTTGGGCCATTTTGTACTGCTTTCTCAGGCCATAGCAGAGAACTGGATGGGAAGTGGAGCAGCCGGATCTTGAACCTGTGCCCATATGGGATGCTGGTGCTTCTGGCCAGGGTATTAACCTGCTGTACCACAGCACGGGCCCCTAGTGGTTAACATTTAAAATGGTCAGATTTCATCCAAATATAGATGTCTCGTTTCATAAATGCTGGTTTGCATTTCTGCTGGAAAACGATAATCTTGAGTAGATGTTATTTCCTTTACATAGGGCCTACTGTTGGTCACGTCTGGGTCTATTACTGATTCACATTACCTGGCTGGACCCTGTAGGGGATCTCTGTGCAACTCCTTGACTACTAAATGATTATGTTAGATAAAGAGTCAAGAAGGAGCCACCATCTTTGAGTCAGAGTCAGGGTGAACCCTGTTCTACCACTAGGTTGAGGTTATATGAGAAATGTGTACACAGGCACTTTGAAAAGTTCATGAAAAATGCATATTATATATTAGCAAAGCTATGACTATATTTCAAAAATTGTTTTTGATATTTATTTGTTTATTTGAAAACCAGAGGGAAAGAGAACAAACAGATCTCCAGTCTGCTGATTTCCTCCCCAGATACCTGCAAGAACTGAGGCTGCACCAAGCCAAAGCCAGGAGCTGGGAGCTCGATTCTGGTCTCCCATGTGGGTGTCAGGGACCCAACTACTTGAGCAGTCACTTTACTGCATTATAGGATTTGCATGAGCAGGAAGCTAAAATCAGAAGGGGAGTAGAGACTCAAATCCAGGCACTCCAATAGAAGCATGCCAAGTAGAGACTCAGATCCTAGCTCCCTAATGTGGTCATGCCATTCAGTGTTTTAACTGCTGTACCAACACCTGACCCCTACACTTATAATTTAATTCCATTTTTCATGAATTTTAAAGTACTTTTGTGTATAATGCTTGAGTAATTTATAGTGAATGCTCAGTATGTTTTATGTATTAGTTTTATGAGATGAGGCAAAAGATTCATTTATTTATTTGAAAGGCAGAGTTACAGAGAGGTAGAGAGGTAGAGAGGTAGAGAGGTAGAGAGGTAGAGGTAGAGGTAGAGAGAGAGCGAGAGAGAGAGATCTTCCATCTGCTGGTTCACTTCCCAAATGGCCACAATGGCCAGAGCTTGGCCTATCTGAATCCAGGAGCCAGGAGTTTTCCGAGTCTCCCATGTGGGTGCAGGGGCCCAAGTACTTGGGCCATCTTCTACTGCTTTCCCAGGCAATAGCAGAGAGCTGGATTGGAACTGAAGCAGCCGGGTCTCGAACTGGCACCCATCTGGGATTCCAGCAGGGCAGGCGGAGGCTTTACCCATTATACCACAGTGCCAGGCCTCAAGCTGTGTATTTTAAAATGTCACTTTTTCTTTATTTTTGAACGATTTATTTGTTCATTTGAAAGTGAGTTACAGAGATAGAAGGAAAGAGGGAGGGAGGGAGGGAGAGAGAGAATCTTCCATCTGCTAGTGTACTCCCCAGATTTCAGAGAGAGAGAGAGATGGGGATTGATCTTTCATCCACTAGTACACTCCCCAGATGGCCAAAGCTGGGAGCCAGGAGCTTCATTCTGGTCTCCCGTGTGGGTGGGTGGGTAGGGACCCAACTAATAGGGCCTGCTTTGCTGCTTTCCCAAGCCATGAGC